AGGGCGGCGGGAGGCGCTCGGCACAGCCTCTTCATCGACGGCGAGGGGCGGCTGTCGTCGAGCGGCACGGAGGGGGGCTACCTTCCAGGACTGCTCGGGCACGGCGGGGGCGTGACGCGGCTCAACACGCCGACCCTCCTTCCCTCTCCTCTCCGTGCTGTGAGCGTGTCAGCTGGAGGGTTTCACAGTCTCGCTCTCACCGCCAACGGCTCTGTCTGGAGCTGGGGCATGGGAGGCTTTGGCAAGCTGGGCCACGGCGACCAGCAGGGCCAGCTGCTGCCAAAGAAGGTCGAGGCCTTCGCTGGCCAGCGCGTCGTCGCTGTCTCGGCTGGACGCCAGCACAGCCTCGCCCTCACCGCCGACGGATCGGTCTGGAGCTGGGGCTGGGGAGTCTTTGGCCCATTGGGCCACGGCGACCAGCAGACCCAGCTGCTGCCGAAGAAGATCGAGGCCTTTGCTGACCAGCGCGTCGTCACTGTGTCGGCTGGCTATAGTCGCAGCTTCGCCATCACCGCCGACGGAGCCGTCTGGAGCTGGGGCGATGGAAGGGAAGGCCGGCTGGGCCACGGCGACGAGCAGGAGCAGCTGCTGCCGAAGAAGGTCGAGGCCTTGGCGGAGCAGCGCGTCGTCGCTGTGTCGGCTGGAGTCCATCACAGCTTCGCCATCACCGCTGACGGCGCCGTGTGGAGCTGGGGCCAAGGAGGCCATGGCCGGCTGGGCCACGGCGACCCGCATGAGCACTGGCAGCCGAAGAAGATCGAGGCCTTGGCTGGCCAGCGCGTCGTTGCCGTGTCGGCTGGAGAGAAACACAGCCTCGCCCGCACCGCCGACGGCGCCGTCTGGAGCTGGGGCGGTGGAGCTTGGGGCGTGCTTGGCCACGGCGACCAGCGGACCCAGCTGCTGCCCAAGAAGGTCGAGGCCTTGGCTGACCACTTGGCTGACCAGCGCGTCGTCGCTGTGTCATCGGGAGATCGCCACAGCATCGCCCTCACCGCCGACGGCGCCGTGTTTGCATGGGGCGAGGGAGAGCACAGCTGCCTAGGCCACGGAGAGGACGTGGCGAACCAGCTGCTGCCCAAGAAGATCGAGGCGTGGCCGCCGGGAGCGGGCGCGGTAGTGTGAAGGGAGGCGCGCCGCGATAGCCTTCCCTGGGACTCGGGGGCGAACGTTGCATCCGACTGTCGATCTCCGTCTGGGTGAACCTTATTGCACACATCGGGGCGGGGGGCGGGCACACTGTGGGCACGGCGTTGTCCGAGGAGTCCCAGGAATTCCTTTTTCCTCCGAAAGAATTTGATTTTTCCGATGTCCGATGTCCAGCCTGCCTTGGGACTCCCTTCGCACTTGCGTCCTTCAGCCGCTCCCTTGCGCCGATGAAAGAGCCATTCCTTCACGACCGTGCACGCAGCGGACCAAGCCTCGCTGACGCCAGCGCGATTGCTCCTCGCCGCTGCAGCGGGTCGACGCTTGCCTGGCTCGGTGATCCTCCTCAGCTGGGACCACTGCCAGGTCCCGTGGCTGCTCCATCTCTGCAGGCGCCTCCCATCTCTGCAGGCGCTGCTGGAGCGACGTCGACTTCGACTCGGTGCTGGTGCTCTCCCTCCGAGAAGGCGCGGCGCCCACCGTCAAGAGCTTGCGCGAGGGGTTCGAGGGGCGAGGGCGCTACCGGGTGGGCTCGTGCCGCGACGAGGTTGGTGGCGATCGCTGTGAGGAGTCTTTGTTTGTAGCTTGACGATGCGCGTGAGCCGCTTGACGTTGCGCGATCGCTGTGAGGAGTCTTGTTGTATCCTGTGTCACTGACGTACTGTTGTGAGATAGAGTAGTAGGGCAGTTTGGTTGGGCGCACTTGTTGCACCCGCACCTGCACCTGGGTGCAGCGAGTTTTGGTGGTCCGAAATGCGGTCCCGGAGCGCGGCAGTCCGTCATGGGTTTTCGACGAAACCGCGCCCGGCGACCGACATGCGCTTACGTATATATATAATCTTATATGCTTTATGCATTATGCTTTTTGCCGGCGAGACGGACAGACATGGTCACGGACGGTGCAGATTCCCCCACGATCATGGATATCACTTTTAGCTGCAAAGGCTAGTGCCATTTCACTCTGACACGCTAATCTTGAAAACGTCTCCAACGGAGCTCCTCCGTGTTGCTTCCAGCGCCCTCCCCCGCGCTCCCTGCGGCCATGGCCGATGCTCCTAGGAAGAGAGGTCATCTGGCTACCGCGAGAGCGACCCAACTCGTCGACATCGTCCGATGATGGTGCCGCAAAGTCAGCCTTCGGAGGCTATCGTGGGGTCGAGCCGGCAGTAGCCGTGACATGTGGTTCCACCACCCTCGTAGGCTTTGCCTCTGACCGCCACCGTTCCCAGGCTGCCTAATGGGATGGAAAGGAAGGCTCGGCGAGCGTATAGAAGCGTGCTCGACCTCGTCGTGGCAACCTGTACGGCAGCGCTGGTAGGCGCGATGAGCGTCGTGCCACCTGACCCGAGACGGGTCGCAGGCGTCGTACCGAGCGCGTCGAGACCGTGTCCTGATGTGGTCTGCACGGGTGAGTCACGTCGGCGTCAAAGGAGCGACGTGTGACCTGTCAGAGCTTGATCTCCGATCTCAGCGGTCGAGTCGTCTCCGGCGCGCAACAAATGTACCTCTCCAGGACGCGCAGAGGCAGCTGCGACCCAGCCGATTGGACGGCGTCACACCCCGCCACCTGCTGTGTGACGCCGTCCACTCGGCGGGGTCGCAGCTGCCTCTGGAAGGCACCGAGAGGTACATTTTTCACGCAATGGTCAAAATCAAGGGTTTGTAACGGGCTGTGCCCCAGTGAAATGGCACTAGCCAAACTACATAGACTTGAGTGAGTATCGATCTGGACTGAACTGGAGCACGCCGCGCGGAGGGGGCGTAGCTGATATCTGACACGTCCCTCGCCGCGGCCCGTCTCTCCCGACAGCGACACGTTCCGACTCGCTCTCTCTCTCTCCCTCGGCAAAAGCCCCCACCCAATCTCCAATCTGAGCCACTCACGGGAGCACCTCGCTCGCCGGCGCGCACCACGTGGGCGCCGCGCCGAAGAGGTAGGGCAGCTGCTTGTCCTTGCTGACCGGACCGCACTTGACTCTTCCCACTCGACTCTTTCGTCCTCCCACATAGCATGCAAAATTACATGGACAATCCTGTGTGGTGGCGGCGTGCCGTCCTCCCAGAGAGAGAGAGAGAGAGGTTCGACACAGGCACCAAAAGAGGCGCCGTCGAAAGGAAGGAAGGAAGGAAGGAAGAAATGAAAGAGCACAAGAACTTTACAACACAAACAAAAGGGGAAATAGACGCTGAAACGAACGGACGGCATTCCTTGCTCATCGCACTTCGCACGCCGCGTGCTCACAATGGCAGCATTGCCCCGTTCTGCCGACGACGATGGTACTGGACGTTCCTGCAACTTTTTCATGCTGAACGCTGACTTCGTGCGCCAGTTCCCGGGCACGAGCCTGCCATTCTTCCAGGAGCTCCGCGACAAGTTCATCGGGTCTCTATTTACCGGTCAAATTTATAATGCGGATTGCTGTGCGGCTCCGGTCCTCTCTAGAGTGTCTAGATAGACGTACGGCTCAGAGGTCCGAGACTGGAGTCGTGAGGGTCGCGCTCCCCCGCCGTGCGCCCTTGCCCCTTACCCCACGACGCACGAGGCGCAGCACGCGTCGCCCCATCACCCACCAGCTAGCAGTAGCACCTCCTCACCTACACCTTGTCGTGTGGTCTGTACACCGTAGAGAACTCTCTTTGAATTACCTTTACAGTACCACTGCCGCACTGGTCATGTTGACACCGCCCGTATTTTAGTCGGAGGGGATCTACAGGGGATCTGCGCGCGCACGCTCCCGGGCCTCCTCACCCACACGGGTCTCCTCACCCTCACCAAAAGCGTGGCCGCTTCAGTCTCCACAGCCCCTTTTCGGGCTTCGCTTGTGTGTAGTACTCCACACACTACGCCTTCTCCAGCAGCAGGAAGAAGCGGTCCGCGTGCTGACCGTGCTCCCAGAAGCGGTCAAAGTAGGACTGCGCAAGTAAGAAGGGCAAGCTCTAGTCCCCTGTCACTCGAGAGTCACACAGCCTCGCCATCACTGCCGACGGCGCCGCCTGGAGCTGGGGCCTTGGAGGCGGGGGCGGCTTGGGACACGGCGACGAGCAGAGCCAGCTGCTGCCCAAGAAGATCGAGGCCTTTGCTGGCCAGCGCGTCGTCGCGCTGTGTCGGCTGGGGCGTGCGACGGTCTCGCCATCACTGCCAACGGAGCCGTCTTTACCTGGGGCGAGGGTGAGTGCGGCTGCCTAGGCCACGGAGAGGAGCTATCCAACCAGCTGCTGACCATAAGATGGTCGACCGGGGGAGGCGTGGGCGTTGGGTTCTTAGGCTGGGTTAGTAGGTACCGTAAACGGAGCCTCGTACCGGTCGTACGGCCACGCACGCCGCGTGAGAGGGCGGCTGGGCGATCTGGCGAGCGCGAGAGCGGACAGGCCGCTCAGACCTAGTGAGGGAGAGCGAGAGGAGTCCGGGGGATTTGGTAGCCTCAGCCATATTTTCTGTTGTGTGTTGAGATGCCGTCTGGGTTTTCTCGTCCAAACTGAAAAATTGGCCAAACACAACTCAAAAAAATAGTGTTAAATCGTTGAAAAATTAGAGACACACCCGTGTGTTTAATTTCTTTCGTACCTTGTCAACTACTCGTATAGAGAGAGGCGCATGCGCAAAAAATGTAAACACAGAGAGCGGCGCGACGTCGCCAAGTAAGACACACTAAGGACTTGGCATAGAGTACAACGGAAGAGCCGCGCTCCCCCTCATTAGGAACACGTCCGCTCCGCCTCCCCCGCCCCCCCCCCCCCCCCCAACGCCGAACGGCCTAAGGCTGCGACCCCCACGGCACTGGGAGGTGGCGGAAGAAGCAGCGCCTGCCGGGAGATAGGTCGAACCCTTCAGCCTTGGACCTCCCCAGCAGCGCAGCCTAGCCGGTGTTTTGCATGCCGGCGGCGACCCCCTGCACGGTGACGGTCATGGCGTCGTCCAGCGCGAGCCTCTCCGCGTCGCTCGGCTCCTTCTTGAGGCGCGCCATCACCTCGCCCTGGATGGCGTGCAGGGTGAGCAGGTACGGCTGCCGCAGGCCGAAGGACTGCTTGGCGAGCGGGTGGTTCTCGAGGAGGAGGGCGTGGCCCGCAACCTCCATGACGGCCGCCTTCGCCTGCGCGAGCGCCGACCGCAGCCCATCGCCGACCGCGCGGAGGTCCGGCGTGCAGAGGCGGCCGTCATAGTACTCGGAGACGGCGGGCTCCGCCTTGGAGAGCTCGAGCTCCATCAGGTCCACCAGGCCGCGGAAGAAGGGCCAGGTCGAGTACGCGTCACGCAGCTCGGCGAGCCCGCCTCCGGCGATACGCTCCGCGAGCGCCGCGCCGCACCCAAGCCACACGGGCAAGTGGAGCCGCGTCTGCGTCCAGGCAAACACCCACGGGATCGCGCGGAGCGTCTCGATACCGCCGGCAGCCTTGCGCTTCGCGGGCCGCGAGCCGAGGTTCATCGAGGCCAGCGCCGACGTCGGCGTGGCGGCGTGAAAGTAGCGCGAGAAGATGCCGTCTTCCGACTGGTAGACCTGCGCCTGAAAGGCCTTGGCAGACGCGTCGGCCAGCTGCTGCATCAGCTCGCGCTGCGCGTCGGTGGGGAGCTTTGGCGGCGAGATCGTGTGCTCGAGCACGGAGATGGCGTAGCTCTGGAAGGTGTGCACCGCGAGCTCGGTGGAGGCGAGGAAGGCCTGGATCTGCTCCCCCTGCACGGTTACGCGGTACGCGCCGGCAATCGAGCCGGCGGGTTGCGACAGCAGCGCCAAGTGGAGGGGGCCGCCTCCGCGGCCGATGGAGCCGCCGCGCCCGTGGAAAAAGTTGATGCGCACGCCGGCGGCGCGGCCCGCCTCGAGAATCTTCTCCATGGCGACGTGGAGCTCCCAGAGCGAGGCGAACTTGCCGGCGTCCTTGGACGGGCCACACAGGGTCAGGGTCAGGGTTCGGGTCAGGGTTAGGGTCAGGGTTAGGGTCAGGGTTAGGGTCAGGGTTAGGGTCAGGGTTAGGGTCAGGGTTAGGGTCAGGGTCAGGGTCAGGGTTAGGGTCAGGGTTAGGGTCAGGGTTAGGGTCAGGGTTAGGGTCAGGGTTAGGGTCAGGGTTAGGGTTAGGGTTAGGGTCAGGGTTAGGGTCAGGGTTAGGGTCAGGGTTAGGGTCAGGGTTAGGGTCAGGGTTAGGGTTAGGGTTAGGGTCAGGGTTAGGGTCAGGGTTAGGGTCAGGGTTAGGGTCAGGGTCAGGGTCAGGGTCAGGGTCAGGGTCAGGGTCAGGGTCAGGGTTAGGGTCAGGGTTGGGGTCAGGGTTAGGGTCAGGTTCAGGGCCAGGGCCAGGGTTAGGGTTCGACCTTGGACGAGTCAGAGTAGCCGAGCATCACCTCGTGGAAGCCTCCGATGGCGCCCTTGTAGGCGGCGACGGAGAAGAGGCGCGCGACGACGCGCGGCGCATTCTGCAGGTCCTCGCGCGTCTCGAAGAGCGGCGCGACGCGCATCGGCGACTTGACGCCGCTCTTGACCTATCGACAAGTCCTGGACATGTCCTGGGCGTGTCCTCGAGGTGTCCAGCAGCGGCGACCTGACGCGGCGCTCGACCTGCAGCAGCCGCACCGCGAGCACGTCGGACGCGCTGCGCGCCATCGAGATGCAGTAGGCGCCCAGGCACTCGGGCGGCAGCGTGGCGAGGAGGGCGAAGGTCGCCAACACCTCCTTCACCCGCTCGTCTGCCGCCAGCGTGCCTGCATCCGGGATGAGCGGCCGAGGCGAGACCAGCTCCGCCGAGAGCCACGCAATCCGCGCCTCTTCGTCCCACTCGAGGTACCTAATGAGGAGACTGCGGGAGATGACAGGAGATTGGGGTAGAGTACAAGAGAGGCACGCCTGGCGGCACGAATGACCGCGGGCCATCTCCGGCCACCTCGGGCCATCTCCGGTCATCACGGGTCATCTCGGGTCATCACGGGTCACGTCGGGTGATCGATGTCGGGGTCTCTTGCGATGCTGGGCGAAGCGCACCGGCCGAGCCCGAGGGCGCGCGTGATTGCGTCGATCGCCTCGGAGTGCCGGTCGCTCTCCTTTGGCGAGAGATGGGGAGAGATGGGGAGAGATGGGGAGAGATGGGGAGAGATGGGGAGAGATGGGGAGAGATGGGGAGAGATGGGGAGAGATGGGGAGAGATGGGGAGAGATGGGGAGAGATGGGGAGAGATGGGGAGAGATGGGGAGAGATGGGGAGAGATGGGGAGAGATGGGGAGAGATGGGGAGAGATGGGGAGAGATGGGGAGAGATGGGGAGAGATGGGGAGAGATGGGGAGAGATGGGGAGAGATGGCGAGGTATGGCGAGGTATGGCGAGAGTAGAGCGACGACTGCCTGGCGGATGTCCATCTTTGCAAGGCAGATGCCAAAGGTGCGCACGCGGCGGAGCAGGTCGAGGAGCGTGCCGTTGGCGAGGACGCGGTCGCCTGTGCACAACGCCCGGCTGAGTCAAGAGACGCTGCTCGCACCCGGTGGCCCGCTGGCGAGGGCGCAGTCGGCCGACGGTGACGAGGGAGCGGTACATGAGCTCAAGCGGCGCGAGGAGCTGCGCCTGGCTGGTCAGCACGTCCGCGTCCTCGTCCGCGCCGCTGTCGTGGCCGAGGTACACCTAGCCGGGGGGGGGGGGGGGAGGTGAGGAGCGGGGGGCAAGCGGGAAGGCGGAGGCGACGGCGGGGGCAAGCGGGGAGGCGGAGGCGACGCGGGGCGAGCCCAGCACACCTCCTCCATCTTGACCCGCGTCCGGTAGAGGCGGCGGCGGAGCGCCATGAGCAGGACTCGGTATGGCTCGTCCTCCTGGTGGGGTCGGGACGAGGCCGGGTCGTGCTGTGTGGAGGAGGGGCGTGGGCAGGCGGGCGCTCGGCCACGTCGATTCCTCTCCTCTGCCGCCTCTCTGCCTCTCCGCCGCCGCCTCCCCGCCGCGTCTCTCGCGCCCGGCTGTGACGAGGGTGGTCTCTGCTCGGGATTGGGGCGGGGGCTGGCGACCTGGCACCCGGTCTGGAAGGTCCACGCGAGGCCGTACCCGTCCTCGTGCGGGAAGACCTACGGCAAGGGAAGGGACGTCAGGCGGTGGGGCAAGGGCCAGGCGACCCTCACGCCCGGACAGGAGGGAGATGGCACCGGCATTCAGAGTGCAAGGTGGACGGGGGGGAGCAGACCTTGCGGTGCACGCCCGGCTGGCGCGGCCCGGTGATCTGCTCGACGGCGGCGCGCATCTCCGCAGAGACGGGGCCGGTGTGCGAGAGCTCATAGAGCAGCTTCTCCACCTCCTTGTGGTACAGCTCCGCTGCCCGCGCCCGCTGCAGGCACAGCACGTGGCCCGTCGTGACGGCCGTGACGTTTGGGTTCCCGTCGCGGTCTCCGCCCATCCATGTCGACACTTTGACGATGGCCTAGGTAAGGTAAGGTACGGTAAACCTCTCCACACACACGAGGTGGTGCGGCAAGGGCCGGGCGACCCTCGCGTCTCCGCGTCTAATGACAGGAGCCCCACGGCATTCATGGTGCAAGGCCCAGTGCGCGTGGGTGAGCGGTGGTGTGTGTGTGTGCGTGTGTGTGTGTGTGTGTGCGTGCGTGTGCGTGTGCGTGTGTGTGTGTGTGTGTGTGTGTGTGTGTGTGTGTGTGTGTGTGTGTGTGTGCGTGTGTGTGTGTGCGTGTGTGTGTCCGATGGCCTTGTCGTACGGCACCGGCGGCTGGCCGATCCGGCGGAGGGCGCGGTCAAGGCGGCGGTAGTGCTCTGGCACGGCGTCCCAGCAGGTCTCCTCAATCACCATCAGTCCGTTGCGCGCCTCGCCTTCCGCCGTCGGCTTGGAGCGACGCACATTGGAGGTGCGCCACGCCGCGAGCTGCCAGCCAGGGGCGGGGGGGAGGGAGAGCGGGTACAGACGGGGAAGACGCGGCCCGTGCTTTCTCTTCTTCCGGATCGGCCCGGCGCCGCCGTTGGTATAAGAAAGAAGCAGGGGGGCGGGGGAAGGACCACAGGTGGCACACGCAGCGACAGTCGCCGGGAGTGCTCTCGGAGTGTGTCCGCGCCTGCTCGCGCGAGATCGCCTCCTCGAGCTCGGTCACCTCGCCGGGGGTAAGGACGGTGCCCTTATCGTGCTGGCCGAGCAGCGCCACAATCTGCTGGTGCTTCTTGAGGATCGTCCGCCGCTGCGCCTCGGTCGGGTGCGCCTACTGGACGCGTCCACGACGTGTCCGGTGCGTGGCCTGCGTCCGCCGCTTGCACCCCCGAATGCGCCGTCAGCACAATCTCGATCTCCTGCTCGGAGATTGCGTCGCGGATCTCGGCGGCGGCGCGGCCACTTGCGAGGAGCGCGTCAAAGGCCATCCGAAAGGTCTGGTTCCCAACCACCGCGCCGGTGGAGGTGTCCTCCGTGCAGCCCGCGTCGGCATCGTGGGCGCGCTCAGCTCGACCTGCTCCAAGGGGGGGGGGGGGGGAGCGAAAGGTTGGGTGGTGCCAAACCGAAATCTCGGGCAATCTCGCGCCTCTGCCTCAGGGCCCGCCACCCTCCCTTGGGAGACGACACTCTCCGCACATCTCGGCACACTCTCGCGCCTCTGCGTCGCGCGAGAGCAGCAGCGCCGCGGGGTGGTGCAGCCTGGAGAGCGCCGCCCGCCGCGCCGCCTGCAACTGCGCGGGGCCGAGGGCAGGCTCGTCCAGGCCCAGAGCGCCCCAAAAGCCGGTTCGCTTCGGCGGGGGCGGCGCCTGTCCGCGGGTGCGGCAGGCGTGAGGAGGCGGCGAGCACAGCAGCCGGCGAGGGCGCGGCGGCGGGAGGGGAGGGGAGAGGAGAGAGGAGAGGAGAGGAGAGGAGAGACGAGAGAGGAGAGAGGAGAGGAGAGGAGAGGAGAGAGGAGAGAGGAGAGAGGCGAGGAGAGGAGAGGAGAGGAGAGAGGAGAGAGGAGAGAGGAGAGGAGAGGAGAGGAGAGACGAGAGAGGACGATAAGAGGGGATCGCGCGCCGCCGCCGCCCTCGTCATCCAGACGGGTGGGCGCAGCTCGATGCCGACAAGAGAGAGGAGCCAGCGCAGCAGCCTGTGCCAGCCCGGGGCAGGTGGGGAGGCAGCCGAGAGGCGGCCGAGAGGCAGCCGAGAGGCAGCCGAGAGGCAGCCGAGAGGCGGCCGAGAGGCGGCCGAGAGGCGGCCGAGGTCGCCTGTGTCGGGCGGCGGCGGCGCCGCCGCCGGCGGCGGCGGCGGCGGCGAGAGCGTGGTAGATGGCGGCGGCGCCGATGCCGAGGAGCGGCGATAGGGCGGCCGTCACCCCGTCCAGGATCGCCACCGCCGCGAGGAGAGCCCACGGCAGCCTGCGAGTCTGCAGCCGCACACTGACCAGCGTGACGGTCGACTCTGGCGACGACTGCGCCCAGAGCTGGAGCAGGGCGACGCGCGTGGCGGGCGCGAGGGAGGAGGCGTAGCGGCGCTGCACGGGCGGCACGGTCGCGGCGGCCAGCGCGGCGGCGCCGCCAGTGCACAGCAGCAAATCAAGCAGCAGCCGGCGCGAGCCGAGAGCGGGCTCGAGCCGCTCGCGGCCGGGTCGGTGGCGGCCGGGTCGGTGGCGGCCGGAGCGGCGGCGGAGAGGGTGGCGAGTTGCGTGAGCAGCTCCTGCACTGTGCGAGCGGCGGTGGCAGCGCGTCGATATTTCGCCGCGCGGAGCGTGAGGTGTTCGGGTACGGAGATAACCTAGAAACAGCGGATGCTGCTTATGTCATAGCTCGTGCGGCCGCCGCGACGAAGGCGGAGCAGAGCAGAGCGCCGCGAGGTGCGGCGGCAAGCGCGTTGCCCCGAGGAGCAATCCGGCGCCCGCGTATGCCCGAGAGGGTGCATGGAGGATACTGTGGAGCGTGGGCGTGGTCGCGGCATGATGAGAGGGGCGAGGGAGGGCCTCCAGGCGGCGCAGCATGATGGAGCCCGAGACTTTCACAACGCATTGTCGTGAACACGTTTCGGGACGGTTTGGAAAAATTAAATGCCTTGCGCGGCCCATTGTCGCTCCTGGGCCTTTCCATTTTGGTATTTTCGTGCCGCGTCTCCCTCCGACGCAATAAAAGGCGCACGGCAACAAGTTGCTCGGTCCTTGGGAGCCGCATACTGAGGAGGGGAAGCAGTTTTTCTGCGTATCGCAGGGAAATGGACCCGCAAGCGTGTGCGTGTTCCGTGCTTCCGTCTGCCAGGCGGCAGCATTTCAGGTCTCCCACCTGGCTGCCCTGGCTGCACACACCTTGTGGACGCCATTTGAGCAAGCACGAACTGTGGGTGGGTGGACGCAACAGAGTTTATTTCCGGCTCCCGTGCTAGTGGCAGTGCGCGCGAGTCCGGCGCGGAGTGGGGCCGGCGTCGGTGCACACATAAAAGAATTTCTCGGGGCTCGGACTGACCGGCGCCAGATTAAAGAAAGCGAGCGCGGCCGCGTGCACACACACGGCCTGAGGGAGGGTGTAGAGGATGTAGAGTGTAGAGCGCTGTAGAGCTGTAGAGATGTAGAGCGCTCCGGAGTGCTGTAGAGCTGTAGAGCTCTACATCCGCCGCGTGACGAGGCGCCTGCGTTGTAGAGCGATGTAGAGCGCGATTTTGTTGTAGAGTTTGTTGTAGAGGCTCTACAGCCAAACCGCCGGGAAGGCAGTGACTCAAAGAGGTCGAGCCGCGCTAATGGGGTGTCTCCGAGCTTAGTGAAGCTCTGATGGACAGCCCTGACTATCCCTGACACACAGAGAGTCCCTCTGACGGCACACAACACCCTATAACTGCGTCATGACCAGCCTGCCATGTGTCGCCGGTGCCGCATTCGTCGCTGTGCTTCTTTAGCAGGCGGTGGACTGTCGGCTGCGAGGACGGTCGCATTTGCGCGAGGCGAGGCGAGCATTCAGACGCGTTGCATGCGCCATGACTCGCGCCAGCGCGTGCGGGAGCTCCTGGCTGAGCGTTGAGTCCAGGCGAGTTGCGCTGGCCACTATCGCTACGCCGAGCCGAGCTGACGCGCCGAGGCGCCGGCCAGTCGCAGCCGTGAGGCATGCCATAGCAGCAGAGGCACCTGCCACCCATTGGGCGGGCAGACAGAAGGCCAGGGCAGCACTGGCAAGTGCAACGCGCCTCATGTCGGAGAGCGACCGTGCCTCGTTCGCCGCTTATGATGTAGAGTTTGTTGTAGAGATTTCACGTTGTAGAGCGCCTCTACATCGCTCTACAACGCAGGCGCCTCGTCACGCGGCGGATGTAGAGCTCTACAGCTCTCCAGCACTCTACATCTCTACAGCTCTACAGCGCTCTACACTCTACATCCTCTACACCCTCCCTCAGCACACGGCCAATACTCGAGTATGGCCGCCGCCGGCGATCTGCGATCCTCCTGAGAGTGCAAAGGCTACTATAGTACTAGTACCGCGTCCCACACGTGTTTCTTCCTTCTGCGCGGTTCTCTGCTCTCCTCTAAGGGAGAGTTGAGTTAGTTCCCAGACGGCGCTCGAATTCACGTTTCCCCTCTCTCTCTCTGCTTCGGTGGCCCATCTATCTTCAGAGGTAGCTAGCGGGTACATGTAACAAAGTTCGTTTTGGGGCCTCCTCCAAACAAAACTCTCCAATTCCAAAACGCTCTAAACGAGGCGGGCGCCCAGCAGCTCCGATTACAATTGGGATTGGTATCTTACTTTGCAGAACCTGTGTTCGGTCGCTTGAAGGGCAAGCAAGCGAGCCGGGGAGGGGCCGCTCGTCCCGTCGCGGCGGGCGCAGCATCGTGGGAGCCGAGGGACTGCTGCGTTTCTACCCGCTCAAGTAGGCGCTCTGCCTCCCTCGACGCTGCGGCTGCTCTGCTCTAAGCATGCTGCTTTGCACACTCAAACGCAGCTCGCTCATTCAAAGCGTCTCCGCGCATTCCTTGCTCATAGGAAGGGAAGAGCAGTGCGGGGCGCCACGATGCACACGTTGCTCGACTGCCCTCTCTCTTCTGGATCTTCGGCCAAAGCACCGCAGCACGGCAGCACGTCTCTCCCATCTCCGGCTCTGGCGAGGCCAAAAGCACGGCAGCACGTCTCTCACATCTCCGGCTCGCCAGAGCACGGCATCACGGCAGCACGGCAGCACGTCTCTCACGGCAGCACGGCAGCACGTCTCTCACATCTCCGGCTCGCCAGAGCACGGCAGCACGGCAGCACGTCTCTCACATCTCCGGCTCGCCAGAGCACGGCATCACGGCAGCACGGCAGCACTGGCCTACGCGCCGCCGGGCGTGCCGGTCCACCCCGCGTTCTACAACATGTGGCAGCCGTTCGCCGCCTCCGGCATCGCCATCACGGCGCCGCCCGCGCAGCTCCGGCGCGAGCTGTACGCCTTCTTCGACCTCCTCTCGGCCGCGTGCGGCGACCGCGCCGACCACCTGTGGTACGTCGTGACGGTGCTGGGTGCGGCGACGGGAGAGGGCCTCGAGCGCCGCGTGTGCGCGCGGCGGAGTCGGCATAGTATAGACTGACTGAGGCCGACCGACGGGGCCGTTGAAGGGGAGGGTAGGCATGTTGTGCTCGAGATCGTCCAGCCGCACTTGCGCTCTGTGTGGCCAATGGAGAGGCGTGAGAGACTAAAAATCTAAGGCTCTATATGTGTGTATGTGCAGCTTGTTTCCGAGGGACGCTTTTTCTCAGTTTCCTGTTATTCACAGAGAGAGAGAGCTCTCTCTCTCTCTCTGTTATTCACACAACCTCTCTTGTGAGAAAAGAAAACGCGGGTGGTCAACCCACCTACGAGCGGCGTGCCACGCCAGGCTCGACACCGCGACGCTACCCACACCCGAACAACAACAGCTCCGCAACTCTCGACGCGATGCACCGGGAGTCGCAAGCCTCAGCTTACGGTCGCGGCGAATGCTAGCTGTCTTCGCTGGGCGTGCCATGGCGCCGGCCGGCCCACATCGTGCCGAAGCCGCAAAACGAGTGCCTGCTCATCGTGCTGTCAATCGTGACCGCTTCGCACCTACGTTGCTGCCACAGAAGCGCGCCGGTGCCGCTTCCATTGGCGAGCAAATGATCAAAGCACATCGCGCGAGCTGCGCTCGCAGCCACGCCGGCGCAGCGTGAAAGCTCTCGTCGCCAATCCCAGTGCGAAGGCAGCCACCGCAGCCCACAAGGCTGGCGCCGAGGCCAGCAGCGCGTCGCCACCCCCGACCCGATCACGCCGCGGCGGCGACGCCGCCTTTGCACCGACGCGGCTGCCTTGCTGACGCCGTACCAACCTGCAGGGTGACGAGCCGCTCGCGGAGCCCAGTGCCGGTTGGTGCTGCTGTTGTAGGCCGGCGTGTCGCCGCGAGGAGCACGCCGCTGCCGGGCGGCGGCGAGCTTCGAGATCGGCAGGGCGACATGCGGCCCGCTGCGGGCGGCGGCAGCACGTGGCGGACGTACCTTTACGCCGCCGCCCGCACACAGCCAGGCTCACGAGCTGCCGCCAGAGGCTGCGCCGCACATTGAGAGCCGCCGCAGCTCCGCGTACTCGTCAGTTCGGCCCTCGCGGGCGGGCTAGACGCGTCCTTCCTCCGGCCGGGCGCTCGAGCTCGAGCAGATCCGGGCCCACGAGGCGGGAACGACCGTCCTCGTGGGCGAGGTCGAGTCTGCTGGCCGGCGGTGGGCGCGAGAGGCTGTGAGATGCGGAGAGCGGCTGCTGGCGGGTGGGGTGGTCGGTGGCCGGTCGTGTGGAGGCGCGGTCGTGGCGGGCGACAAGCCGGCAGAGAGGCGACCCGTGCACAGCGTGTGGGTCTGTCGCCGTGTGGCGTGTGCGGCTGTGGCGGATGGGTGCGTGGCTGGTGTGTGGGCGGGCCGTGCATCCTTCGGCCTCGCTCCTAGTAAAAAGGCGCACAGTCGACCGAGTCTATTTCAGCGCAGTACTAGAGGCGTCCCAACCCCACAATATAGTATCGTACAAAGGACACGGCCAAAGGCCTGACTCTCTGCAGCACACAGAGCACACCACCGGCTCAACAGTCAGCTGCACAGCCCGTGCGCAGCGAGGAGGAGCAACACAAGTGCGCCCAGGCCTCGGATCGCACGTCCCCCGCACGCCCCGCCCCACACCCCTCCCGCAGACGTGGTTCGGAGGCGCGGGCGGCGAGTCGTACACGCAGACAACGAAGGCCTCAGCATCTCGCCGCTCCCCCGCCCCTCGCCGAGCCAAGCGCAAGGGCTCGCTCTGGCCTGCTCTCTCTCTCTCGACTCTCTCTCGCCTCGACGCCGCAGCCGCACCTCGAGATGTGCCGCCGCCGCGGCTGAGCGCTCGAGGCAGCTCGCGTCGCCGCCCCCGCCGAGCCGCCATACACCTCCGCTCACTCCGTCGCGCGGCCGCGCCGCAGCCATGCCGCCCGCCCGCCGCCGCCGCTCTGCTGCTGGCCAGAGACGCTGGCGCGCTCACTCCGCCTCGTTGAGCTTGCGGCGCTTGACCTGGCCGACGGCCAAGGTGTCCTTGGTCGCGAGCCCGCCCTCCGCCCGGCAGCGCTTGAGGTGCGCGGCAAGCTCCTTCTCGTTGAGGCCTGCGAGCGAGCAAGGGTGAGGGGCGTGAGAGAGTGGAGGGTGGGTGGTGGCGAGCGTGGCGTGAGAGGGGAAGTGGGGAGGGGCGAGCAGCGCACTCTTGCCGCGGCAGGCGTACGACACCCAGCCGCAAACGCAGGCGGAGCCGATCACGCAGTGGCCGTCCGCCTCGGCCTTTGTCTTCTGCCCCTCGCCGCAGGTCGGGCAGTGGAAGGGCCAGATGCCGGTGTGCTTGGGCTCGTGCGCCTTGTAGGTCGACGGGAACTTGAAGCTCTCGCCGCAGCCATCCCAGAGGCAGCGCTTGTTGTCGTGCTCGACGCCGTGCGTCGCCGCGCACGCCCACGCCGCGTCGGCCGTGTCGTGCAGGGAGTCGCAGCTCGGGCAAACGAAGCCCTTGCGAGGCGGGTCGCCGATGGAGTGGAGCGCCTCGTGCGTCCGCACGTGGTGGAGGTTGATGGTGCCGTTGCCGCGGAGGACGCACTTCACCCACGGCTTCGCGCAGCCGTCGAAGAGGCACTTGACCTGCGGCCAGGCGGCGAGGGGGGGCGTGGGCCTGCGCTGGAGACGAGGCGACCGGCACGAGGCTCGGTGCGCTCCGCGGCGTGCGCTGCGGGGCGGGGCGGGGCCCTCTGCGCAGGCGGCGAGTGAGGGCGGCGGCTACTCTACTACGGCGGCGCCTCGTTGCCGTTGCGGACCTCGCGGCGCGGCTCGAGCCCGGGGTGGGCGCGCTCGATGTGCTCGAAGATCCCCTCCGCCGTATCGCGGAACTGAAGGCGGGGAGGGAGGCGGCGGTGGAGGGAGAGGGGCGCGCGCAGAGGCGGCGGGGTGAGGAGGCGGCGAGGGGGTGAGGCGGAGTGAGGGTTGGCGGCGGCGAGGGCGGAGGCGTGGGTTAGGGTGGAGAGGGGGGAGGAGGCCAGAGGGCGGAGGCAAGACTCGCCTCGTCGCAGTCGGGGTTGATGCACACGAAGCCGCGGCCGCCGGGGGTGATGCTCGCCCTGGCGCCGCGGGTCGAGACCCGCTTCTTCTTGCGCTCGCCGCCCGCCTGCGGACGTGGCGGTGGGAACAGGCGGCGGTCGACGCTCGGGGCGGGTCGGATAGGGCGGCGCGGAGCATCGCCGGACGAGCCACAGGCAGCCGTCGCGAGAGCACCCCCCCCGGGCCAACCCGCCTCCGCCGGCGAGTGTGGGGTGCAGAGGCGCGCGGGGCACCTTGGCCTTGCCGCCGGTCGGCGCCTTTTTGGCCGCCTTCGCCTTGCGGGAGGGCTTGGCGGGCGCCTGCGCGACAGAGGGAAGGGGCAGTTGGTGCGGGCCACGAGAGCGACGCGCGCGGGCTCCCTGACCAGCAAGGCCGGACCTTCCCCCCCCCCCCCCCCTCTCCCCACTACTTAGCTGCCGCGCACCCGCGGCGCTCCGAGCGTCTCAAAGTCGAAGTCGGAGCCGTCGCCGTCGCTGTCGCTCCCCCCGTCGGAGACCTGTGCCACGCTCCCGCCCTCGTCCTCGTCCTCGTCCTCCTCCACCTCCTCGCCGTCCTCGCCAAGCATCGCCGGCGGCTGCGCAGAGGGAGGGGGGGGAGAGCAGCGCGTTCGTTAGAGGCGAGGGGGGCCGCGATGGGGCGGTCGCTAGAGGGGGCGGGAGGCGCCCGGGGGCGGTCGACCCTCCCGGCCACGGGTGGGGCGGCGGCGGCGGCAGGCGGCGGGGACGGCGTCGGCGGGTGGTGGCGGCGGCGGAGGTGTCGACGGTGGAGGTGTGTGGCGGGGCGGGGCCTGGCTTGCGCGCAGACAGGGGGGCAGCCCGACGGCGGCGGGGCGGGGAGGAGGTGGCGGTGGTGGTGGAGGCGGTGGAGGGGGAGGCGGTGGCGGCGGCGGCGGAGGCGACAGGCTGGGCGGTGGCGGACTGGGTGGCGGCGGCGGCGGCGGTGGCGACGGCGGCGGCGGCGATGGGGGTGGTGGGCTCGGGAGGCGTGGCGGCGGCGACGCGAACGTGTCACGGAGGCGGAGGCGTTGGAGGGGGAGGCGCGGTGGCAGAGGAGACGAGGGGCGGGCGGGGGGCGCGTCCAGGGCGCGGAGGGCGGCCGGGTGAGGGCGGGCGGTGCGTCGCGCGGCTCTGGGTGGGGGCGGCGGCGCACAAGGTAGTTGGGCTGGTTGTAGTCTGCCGACGCCTGGCGCGCCGAGGCGCGAGTCGGCGCCGAGCTGGTCGAGGGCTGCTCGCGGCGCTCGTTGGCCTTCTTCTCGGCCTCGCCGCGCTCGTTGCGGATGTCCTGGCAGAGCGGCGGGGAGGGCTAGTGAGAGCGTGATGTGGAGGAGGTGAGCGAGAGGAGGAGGCGAGTGCGTGTGCGAGGCGGGCAGAGGCGAGAGAGGGTGGCGGGGTGCGAGCGAGTCGGAACTGCTGCGTTCGAATTTGGGCGCACCAGCGCTTGCTCATCGGGAATCTTTGCAAGTTCGACCACTGCGCTGTCGGACTCGTGGTCGAAGGAGGCGGCGTCCCAGATCTGCGCACATGGTTCGCGATGGGGCGCTCTGAGCGGGGGCGTGCGCGGCTGGGGGAGGCGCACTCGCTGAGAGCGGGGGCGCGTGCGCGGCTGCGGGAGGCGCGGGCGAGGCGCGCCACGAGCTGGCCGCGCGGGTCCTCCAGGCAGACCGGTGACAGGCTTGCGAGGAGCGAGAGGCGGAAGGTGATGTCCCCGTCGCTTCCGGCAGGGGGGTTCACCTGCGCTGACGGGCAGGCCGTCAGGGGCGGGGCGCGGGCGAGTGCGGGCCTGGCGAGTGCGCGGCACGCCGGCTGGATCATCGACTCGGACAGGGCTTGCGCGAGCACGGAATGGCACATCGAAGCGGTCAGTCCGAGCTTCTGCTTGAAGCAGTCGAGGAGCGACTGGATCGGGTGGTCGTCGACGCTCCTGCGCGGGCGGCGCGGGGGGCGGAGCGAAGAGTTACTGAGCGGCGGGCGCGCGGGTGGAGCGGCGCGCGGCGCAAATTGCGCACGTGTCGACGAGCAGGTTTGATCCCTTGGCAAAGACGATGTCCGGGTGGTCGCGCAGGAGGACGCGGTACCGGAGCTCGCCGTCGAAGCGGTCGTCTGGCTTGAAGACGATGAAGCCGACCTCTCCGTTGAGGTCGTCGTGCTTTCGGAGGTCGGTGAGGATCACTTTTGTGCCGCGCCTGGGCGGAGCGCGGCCGCGGCGGTGAAGTGTGGCTTCGGCGGTGAGAGGCGCAGACGAGAGGAGCGCGGGCGGAAGAAGTGGAGCGTCTGGGAGGCATGGCTTGTACGCACCCGGCAGCGGCGAGGCCGCGCGCCGGCAGCGGCGAGGCGTCCATCGGGTCGAAGGACAGGTCGTCGAAGCGCGACGCGGGTTTTAATAATAATAATAAATAAATAAAATAAATAATAATAATAGAGTAATAATAGTAATAAATAATAGTAATAATAACAGTAATATTAATAGTAGTAGTAGAGTAATAAATAGTACTAATAGTAATAATAATAATAATAATAGTGAGAGTAATGGGAGTAATGAGAGTAATGGGAGTAATGAGAGTAATGGGAGTAATGAGAGTAATGGGAGTAATGGGAGTAATGAGAGTAATAATAGTGAATAGAGAAAGGGGGGGAGAGGGAAGAGGGAGGGAGGGAGCCCGAGTGGAGAGAGACGTGCTGCCGTGCTGCCGTGCAATGACTGGGTGGGTGCCCGGAGCCCGAGTGGGGAGAGAGGTGCTGCCGTGCTGCCGTGCAATGACTGGGTGGGTGCCCGGAGCCCGAGTGGAGAGAGAGGTGCTGCCGTGCTGCCGTGCAATGACTGGGTGGGTGCCCGGAGCCCGAGCGGAGAGAGACGTGCTGCCGTGCTGCCGTGCAATGACTGGGTGGGTGCCCGGAGCCCGAGTGGAGAGAGACGTGCTGCCGTGCTGCCGTGCAATGACTGGGTGGGTGCCGGAGCCCGAGTGGAGAGAGACGTGCTGCCGTGCTGTCGTGCCAAGGAGACTGGGTGGGTGCCCGGAGCCCCGAGTGGAGAGAGACGTGCTGCTGTGCTGTGTCGTGCCAAGGAGACTGTGGGTGGGTGCTAGGAGCCCCGAGTGGAGAGAGACGTGCTGCCGTGCTGTCGTGCCAAGTAGACTGGGTGGGTGCTAGGAGACCGAGTGGAGAGAGACGTGCTGCCGTGCTGTCGTGCCAGAGCTCGGTGCCGGACGGAGCCGAGTGGAGGTAGTTAGTTGCAGGTAGACGTGCTGCTGTGCTATCGTGCTCTTTGGCCTCGCCATAGCCGGAGATTTGAAAGAGACGTGCTGCCGTGCTGGCGAAACGAGCCGCGGAAAATCGAGCGCCCGCGCGGTCACCATCTACCTTCTTGGCAGACGGTGAACGAGCTAGCGCGGGGAGAGCGGCATTGTGCACGGAGCTAAGTGCATTGCCGTTCTTAGCGGAGTCGCTTAGGCGGCTCCGGTGGTGTGCCTGTGATTGTGCTAGCACGCGCCAGTTCGCACCTGTGTCGAGCCTGTCTGCTGTGAGAGAGAGTTGTGTTGTTTAAATTCTTGTGTTCGGCGTCTTAAATTCTTCTTTTCGGGTTTACAGATTCTTCTTTTAAGGCTGTTAGCATGGCTGCTGCGCCACCTTTATCCTGGGCGTCGCCGGCTGTCCTGCTGCTTCACCAGCCCTGCCGCCGCTCCGTAGCGCCGACAGCTATATCGGTGCACGGCCGCAGCGAGCTGTGCTCGGCGACCGCTGAGCACACTCGCGCTGCACGTCGCTGCAACGGCTGCACGCTCTCGAGACACGCTCGCCGGCCGCGCTACCCCCTCCGCCGCACCCGCCGCACCGCTATAACGGACTGCGTTTCGGCGCCGCCGTCTCGGGCTGCGGCTGCCGGCACGGCGCTCGACGCGTCGAAGCCGCTCGTCTCGCTGCAGGCGACGCTCCAGGCGTGCCGGGCATCATTCTTATTGGATCCACCCCAGCGGCCTCAGATCGTCGATTAACGCCTCCCCGTCCCTTCCCGCCGGTCCACTAGGCGGCGCTGCCGTGCACTGGCGCCAGCGAGCTCCATTTACATTCCGCACGCGCGATCGGCAGTCGAGTTACAACTCGCAGCTGTGCTGCGGGTTGTAATCACTCGAACCGTTGTTCGGCGATATCTCGGCGACCACTCGTCGACTCGCGCTCGGACGCGAGGTGCGTGCTCGCCTGCCCCCCCGGGAGGGGACACGGCCGCTTTTAGCGAGATCGGGTAAATCACCCTCATCGCCCGCCGCTCACGCCTCCCTCCCTCTCCCGCTGCCGCCGCATCCGGTCCTAGCCTGCGATACAATGAGACCTCACACCGGTTCTTCGACGCGAGCAAGCAGGCGCGCTCGCCCTCGCGCTGACCCCGCGCGCTGCCTCGCCACTGCCGCTGCTGCACCGCGCAGGCCTTTGCGGGCTTCCTGCAGCACTGCGTAAACCTCGTCTTTGGCGTCGCCTTTGCGGCGTCAGGCGCCGCCTCAGAGTGCCGGCCCCCCAGCCCTGCCCGTCGTTCCTTGGCCACGGGTGTGGCTGAGATGGCCCCGCACGCACGCAGGTGCGCGTGGTACCTCACCAACTTTGTCATCTCGGTCGTGTGTGGCGTGCTGCTGCTCAACCTCGCCATGGCGGGCTACAACCGGTCCGTGCCCTCACGCCGGCCAGCGCACCGACCAGCAGCACACACCCACCGGCGTGTGCGGCCCGTGGGTGCGACGGAGAAGAGAGGAGGGGCCGTGCGGCCTCGGGCGGCCCCGAAGCGCCGCTCGCGACGCCCGTTTCATTAGCGCACGCGCCTCGCTGGCACACACGCGCTCCTGGCTGCTGCTGGGGCGTGCTGGCTCCCATGCGGCCACCGCACCTGCCGGCTGCACGCCGTTGCGCCCCGCGGCGTCCCGGACCACCCCGTCCAGACCCCACCTCGTCACAGGTGCGTCGACCGGTTTGGCCTGCACCTCCTGCGATCTGGAGAGTACGGTGCGCCCCTTTAGATGGCGGACATGCACAGTGCCTCCTCCCTCACGCATGCCAGACCGCACGGCGGCAGCGCTCTCAGCCAGTGCAGCTCACGCACAACCGCTCGCCGCCGCCCCGGGCAGGCAAGCCGCCGAGCTGGAGGCCGTGGCTGATGCAGATGCTCGTGTGGGGCTTCTTGGCGTCGGTGCGAGGAGAGAGACACCTCCGAGACGCCTCCGAGACACCTCCTAGACACTTCCGAGACACCTCCGAGACGCCTCCTAGACACCTCCTAGACACCTCCGAGACGCTTCCGAGACACCTCCGAGACACTTCCCTGGCGTCGGTGCGAGGAGAGAGACACCTCCAGAGAGCGACACGCGCCCACCTTCGAGACGAGAGTCTCGCAGCCACTGCCAGTAGCGCGATGGGTGCCTCCGCCAGAGCGCTGTGTCGCCCGGCGCACAGAGACCCGGCCCCGCCCCGCCCCCGCCCCCGTCCGCCCCGTCCGCCCCTGCACCGCCCCTGCACCGCCCTCACCGCCACCCATCTCCGCCTGCCGTTCCGCCCGCCGAGCGCCTCCACCGGCCACGTCGCCTGTGCCGCCACCTGCTCCTGGGCACCCTCCCGACCCCGCCCTCCCAACCCCCTCCGCAGGCCGAGAAGGTCGCGACACGCGCTGGTCGTCCTCCTTGCGCCTCCGGCCGAGACGCGCCCCGCGAGGCTCCACCGCCTCTGCACATAGGTCGTGACCGCGGTCATCGTCATCCTGCCGCTGCATTCGGCGCCGGGCCTGCGGCGCGCGCGCTCCGTGAAGAGCCCGCCCCCCCCCTTCACACGTGCCTCTTGTGAACAGAGATTGGATGCCGTCGCGCAGCTAATAGAGGCGCCAGTCCACCACTACCCGAAGGCGGGGCTCTCTAGATACTTCATGCCCGCTTCCTCACCGCCGCCCTCGTGAGTCCACGGCCGTGTCGGGGCTGCAGCGGCGTTTCCGAATGCTTGTGCATTGCGTCCATTGACGCAACGCACGCCGAACTCCCGCCTCGCAGGTGGAGCTTTTGCTGGTGATGGTGTTCGCGCCGGTGGCCTCGCTCGAGAGTCACACAGCCTCGCCATCACTGCCGACGGCGCCGCCTGGAGCTGGGGCCTTGGAGGCGGGGGCGGCTTGGGACACGGCGACGAGCAGAGCCAGCTGCTGCCCAAGAAGATCGAGGCCTTTGCTGGCCAGCGCGTCGTCGCGCTGTGTCGGCTGGGGCGTGCGACGGTCTCGCCATCACTGCCAACGGAGCCGTCTTTACCTGGGGCGAGGGTGAGTGCGGCTGCCTAGGCCACGGAGAGGAGCTATCCAACCAGCTGCTGCCCATAAGATGGTCGAGGCGTGGGCGTTGGGTTCTTAGGCTGGGTTAGTAGGTACCGTACCGGGAGCCTCGTACGGCCACGCACGCCGCGTGAGAGGGCGGCTGGGCGATCTGGCGAGCGCGAGAGCGGACAGGCCGCTCAGACCTAGTGAGGGAGAGCGAGAGGAGTCCGGGGGATTTGGTAGCCTCAGCCATATTTTCTGTTGTGTGTTGAGATGCCGTCTGGGTTTTCTCGCGTCCAAACTGAAAAATTGGCCAAACACACTCTCAAAAATAATAGTGTTAAATCGTTGAAAAAATAGAGACACACGTGTGTTCAATTTCTTTCGTACCTTGTCAACTACTCGTATAGAGAGAGGCGCATGCGCAAAAAATGTAAACACAGAGAGCGGCGCGACGTCGCCAAGTAAGACACACTAAGGACTTGGCATAGAGTACAACGGAAGAGCCGCGCTCCCCCTCATTAGGAACACGTCCGCTCCGCCCCCCCCCCCCCCCCCAACGCCGAACGGCCTAAGGCTGCGACCCCCACGGCATTGGGAGGCGGCGGAAGAAGCAGCGCCTGCCGGGAGATAGGTCGAACCCTTCAGCCTTGGACCTCCCCAGCAGCGCAGCCTAGCCGGTGTTTTGCATGCCGGCGGCGACCCCCTGCACGGTGACGGTCATGGCGTCGTCCAGCGCGAGCCTCTCCGCGTCGCTCGGCTCCTTCTTGAGGCGCGCCATCACCTCGCCCTGGATGGCGTGCAGGGTGAGCAGGTACGGCTGCCGCAGGCCGAAGGACTGCTTGGCGAGCGGGTGGTTCTCGAGGAGGAGGGCGTGGCCCGCAACCTCCATGACGGCCGCCTTCGCCTGCGCGAGCGCCGACCGCAGCCCATCGCCGACCGCGCGGAGGTCCGGCGTGCAGAGGCGGCCGTCATAGTACTCGGAGACGGCGGGCTCCGCCTTGGAGAGCTCGAGCTCCATCAGGTCCACCAGGCCGCGGAAGAAGGGCCAGGTCGAGTACGCGTCACGCAGCTCGGCGAGCCCGCCTCCGGCGATACGCTCCGCGAGCGCCGCGCCGCACCCAAGCCACACGGGCAAGTGGAGCCGCGTCTGCGTCCAGGCAAACACCCACGGGATCGCGCGGAGCGTCTCGATACCGCCGGCAGCCTTGCGCTTCGCGGGCCGCGAGCCGAGGTTCATCGAGGCCAGCGCCGACGTCGGCGTGGCGGCGTGAAAGTAGCGCGAGAAGATGCCGTCTTCCGACTGGTAGACCTGCGCCTGAAAGGCCTTGGCAGACGCGTCGGCCAGCTGCTGCATCAGCTCGCGCTGCGCGTCGGTGGGGAGCTTTGGCGGCGAGATCGTGTGCTCGAGCACGGAGATGGCGTAGCTCTGGAAGGTGTGCACCGCGAGCTCGGTGGAGGCGAGGAAGGCCTGGATCTGCTCCCCCTGCACGGTTACGCGGTACGCGCCGGCAATCGAGCCGGCGGGTTGCGACAGCAGCGCCAAGTGGAGGGGGCCGCCTCCGCGGCCGATGGAGCCGCCGCGCCCGTGGAAGAAGTTGATGCGCACGCCGGCGGCGCGGCCCGCCTCCAGAATCTTCTCCATGGCGACGTGGAGCTCCCAGAGCGAGGCGAACTTGCCGGCGTCCTTGGACGGGCCACACAGGGTCAGGGTCAGGGTCAGGGTCAGGGTTAGGGTCAGGGTTAGGGTCAGGGTTAGGGTCAGGGTCAGGGTCAGGGTTAGGGTTAGGGTCAGGGTCAGGGTTAGGGTCAGGGTTAGGGTCAGGGTTAGGGTAAGGGTTAGGGTCAGGGTTAGGGTCAGGGTTAGGGTCAGGGTTAGGGTCAGGGTTAGGGTCAGGGTCAGGGTCAGGGTCAGGGTCAGGGCCAGGGTCAGGGTTAGGGTAAGGGTCAGTGTCAGGGCCAGGGTCAGGGCCAGGGCCAGGGTTAGGGTTCGACCTTGGACGAGTCAGAGTAGCCGAGCATCACCTCGTGGAAGCCTCCGATGGCGCCCTTGTAGGCGGCGACGGAGAAGAGGCGCGCGACGACGCGCGGCGCATTCTGCAGGTCCTCGCGCGTCTCGAAGAGCGGCGCGACGCGCATCGGCGACTTGACGCCGCTCTTGACCTATCGACAAGTCCTGGACATGTCCTGGGCGTGTCCTCGAGGTGTCCAGCAGCGGCGACCTGACGCGGCGCTCGACCTGCAGCAGCCGCACCGCGAGCACGTCGGACGCGCTGCGCGCCATCGAGATGCAGTAGGCGCCCAGGCACTCGGGCGGCAGCGTGGCGAGGAGGGCGAAGGTCGCCAACACCTCCTTCACCCGCTCGTCTGCCGCCAGCGTGCCTGCGAGAGGGAGTATCCGCGGGTCGGGCGGGGGGGCCCCTCCCTCCTAGATGATGATTCTAGTTCTTCCCTCCATAAGATAAGGCCACCTCGAGTGTGCATGGAGGTGGTCATTGAGAGGGGAGCTCTAGAGACTGAGGGAGTTGGAGGTTATTTTGTCTGTCTGCCTGCGTCCGGGATGAGCGGCCGAGGCGAGACCAGCTCCGCCGAGAGCCACGCAATCCGCGCCTCTTCGTCCCACTCGAGGTACCTAATGAGGAGACTGCGGGAGATGACAGGAGATTGGGGTAGAGTACAAGAGAGAGGCACGCCTGGCGGCACGAATGACCGCGGGCCATCTCCGGCCACCTCGGGCCATCTCCGGTCATCACGGGTCATCTCGGGTCATCACGGGTCACGTCGGGTGATCGATGTCGGGGTCTCTTGCGATGCTGGGCGAAGCGCACCGGCCGAGCCCGAGGGCGCGCGTGATTGCGTCGATCGCCTCGGAGTGCCGGTCGCTCTCCTGTGGCGAGAGATGGGGAGAGATGGGGAGAGATGGGGAGAGATGGGGAGAGATGGGGAGAGATGGGGAGAGATGGGGAGAGATGGGGAGAGATGGGGAGAGATGGGGAGGGATGGGGAGGGATGGGGAGAGATGGGGAGAGATGGGGAGAGATGGGGAGGGATGGGGAGAGATGGGGAGAGATGGGGAGAGATGGGGAGAGATGGGGAGAGATGGGGAGAGATGGGGAGAGATGGGGAGAGATGGGGAGAGATGGGGAGAGATGGGGAGAGATGGGGAGAGATGGGGAGAGATGGGGAGAGATGGGGAGAGATGGGGAGAGATGGGGAGAGATGGGGAGAGATGGGGAGAGATGGCGAGGTATGGCGAGGTATGGCGAGGTATGGCGAGAGTAGAGCGACGACTGCCTGGCGGATGTCCATCTTGGCGAGGCAGATGCCAAAGGTGCGCACGCGGCGGAGCAGGTCGAGGAGCGTGCCGTTGGCGAGGACGCGGTCGCCTGTGCACAACGCCCGGCTGTCAAAAGACGTTGCTCGCACCCGGTGGCCCGCTGGCGAGGGCGCAGTCGGCCGACGGTGACGAGGGAGCGGTACATGAGCTCAAGCGGCG